AAGTACCAATAACTTCAAGAACAAACTTTTTCAAATATAAAAAGCACAATAAATTTAGATCACAGCGTTATTCCTTTATATATTATCCTAATTGCAGGTAGTTAACTGCATTCCACAAATCAGATATTTGTTTTATCCAAAGCAAGAATCATTCTAAAGTCATTAGAATGATTTCTTACTAAAATAATTATGGATTATGACAGGTAGTACAAAAGGTGCCTAATATGCTTAACAGGTATTTAATTTTGGGAATTTTTAAAGCTAATACCGTTTTAAAATCACTCAACGTTTTGGGCAATTGAAAACTTATCCCATTATGGATTAAGCAGGTAATAAGACCCAATAAACACTTGACCTGTTTTGCACAGATATAATTCAAATAAATTTTAATTATCTATGAATTGATTTCAAAACCCTATTTATGAAAAAAAAATATTTTACTATTTGCCGTCCTCTGAATTTGCCGCCCGGGGCACGGGGCCCGTCCGGCTTGCCCCCCTCCCCTAGATCCGGGGCTGTAATCAAACGTGGCATATGTAGGTATAAAGGTACAATTTCGAAACGCGCGACAGACGACAACAGACGCGACGGCAAAGGAGACAGATGCAGTTAGATTATGTTTCACACATTTGGGAAGCAAGGAGACAGGAGACAGGCGACACGACAATTCGAGGTAACGATCAGTGTTGCCAGACCTACTGTTTTAAAGTAGATCCACTCTTTTTGTCTCTGTTCTCCTGTTTTAGGCATGAAATCTACTAGTTTCGCCAACTTAATAAATTGTGTTCTTAATTTATTAAGTTTGCCTCATTCTTCAGCAAATAGTCAAAAACTATTTTCTCTAGTAAATTTGCTGAAGTAAAAGCAGTGTAATAAGCCTCCACTACTGTAGGTTTGCTCCATAAAAGAAAACCACAAGATAATCATTATGTTTTTATTTAAAATGCAACAAAGAATTAATAGGGCATCATAAAAAGAACATGCATGACAAATACAACGTATTTGAATTATCTGATTGAGACTGATTTAAAACAAATACCTATTATTTTTCATTGTTTTTTTTTTGTTTCCGGACGTTAAGTATATATTAAAAATTTTATTGTGTTTATTCTTTGTTTACTTTCTAATTTGGGTAGAAAAATATTTATTTTTTGTTTCTCATATACTTGTTTTTTTATTTACTACACTGCAAATTATAATTATTTCCCCCTGTCTTAAAAATCTACTGTTCAGATCTACGGTTTTTTTTTTCACTCATACTGTTCCAGCAAATTTTCATCTGGCAACACTGCCCAGGATAGAACTTTGCAATTACCATTTCTATAAAATATCGACTAATCACCTCGAAATACAAGCGATGACTAAGGGAGACAGGCAGCAAACGCTACCCCGAGACCGATCTATGTGTCGTCGACTTCTGTCTCTCGGACTGGTCGCGCCTTGCGAAACGTGTTTCATATAATTGCATGTATTCAGACGTAAAGAGACCGTTCTTGGTCTCCTTTGCCGTCTGCTGTCGTATGTCCTCAGTCGCGCGTTCCGAAATGGTACCTTTAAAGATAATAAAAATTAAGAGCACAGTAACAGCGGTAGTATAAAGTTCTTACGCTTCATTATTATTAAAAGTGCAGTAGCATAGTAGATGCTTTTTTTTTGTTATTTTAATAACGCTGTGTCTAGAGGTGCACGCTAACGTGTACAAAATAAAGAAACTTGGGTACACGCTAAACCTCATCACTGTTCGCCGTGACTTAGGGTTTTAGCATTCATCGCCTGAGCTACGCTTCTGCTGTCGTGTGTCGTACGTCGCGCGTTCCGAAGTGATACCTTAAGGGTTACAACGAGTTTCTAAAGGTTATTGATTCTCTTTATATTCTTAAACGATTTATTTGAAATAGTATTTTGACACCTCATAGACAATTTTTAATACATTATTCTGGTTCAGAAATGTTCAATAAATTATAATTTTCAAGAAAATTTGTATTTCTGATAAAAAATAAATAATAAATTGCAATTTACTGTTATTTCCATAAAAACTGGAAGTAAGTTTTGACGTCACAAAATATTTAAATCCGTCGTAAGAAAGTTCTTGTTCGGAGCTTTCAAATAGAAAAAAATCAATTCGATATCTGAAATATTGGATAATATGAGAGCAGATGGAATTTTTAAGAAGTTTCTCGATAACAAAAATGTTAAGATACACCACTGGTGTATTTTGGGTTAGTTTCAATTTTAACACTAATGTTTACAAAGGGTTTTTAAAGGTAATGTATTCCCATATATTCTTCCTTAAACGAGTTATGGGTAATTATATGCAATATGGCGGTCCTTTTGATAGCTGACGGAACATTTTTAATAAGATTCTTATCCAAAAATGTTGAATAAATTTAGATTTTAAATAAAAAAATGGAGGTTTCTTTTAAAAATAAAAAATAAATTTCGATTGTTGATATTTCCGTTATGGGCGCCGTTCAAAAAATTTCCAGAAGGGACAAATCTTATAGGCAGGGTTAAAACGCCACACACTATAGTCGAAAGCCATAGCGAAAAAATTCAAATTTACAAGTCCCGCGCCCTTGCCATCGTGTTGCGACGCCCATGGTCATGAGGTTACAGAATAAATGAAAAGTTTTTACTCCAAACTTTTAAACAAAAAAATCATTCCGATATCTCAATTAATAAGAAGATAGAGGAGTAAAATTTTTAAGTGGCCCACCCTGTATACTCGTCTGGTGGGCACTAGCAACCGCCAGAATGGTCTGGCAGTTTTATTATGGCAATGAAATAGTTCAAAGAATATTTTCCGAAAGTTTTAGCATTGTAAAAACACGTTAATTGAAACATTTTTTTACACTTTTAAAAATTAAATCTAGATCTCGCAACCGCAGTATCTCTTCCAGATCATTGTTACTTTATTTAAATGGTATTAAATTATAAATCTACAAATGTTCAGCCTTGTGCTCAACACGTTGGTCAAAATGACCCCTACTGACTCTAATAAAATTGTTCGACTTCTTTTAGATTGTAAATTTTCTTTGCGGTATCTTTTTTGACTATCATAGCTACCTTTGAAAAAAAAAAACAATAGTATACAGGGTATTTCAGATTTAAACGGACACACATTAATGGGAGGTAGAGTACACTTATGTGAGTTCAAAACACCCCTATACTTACCCTTTAATCTTACTCGTTTCTGAGATATAGGGTGTAAAATCGAACATTTTGTTTGAACAACTAGAGTTATTTTGATAAAATTTTGTACAAAAGTTACACTCTTTTAGGTCAATCAAAACCGTAATTTAATTTTAAAAAATTCCAGGACCGGACTCTCTTTTTTTTTATATTGCTCTTCTTAGCTATACTATCACCCTGTATATCGGATTTTAATAAATGTTATTGCACATTTAAATAGTACGTGGATCAACAAATAAAATAATGTAATAATATTTAATGTTACCATCTTGATGTTCTTACAATAAATTTTTATAATAGCGACTACATTATTATAAATCAGTATTTACAAAATTAAAATCAATAATTTTGCTCTGTACTTTTAAAACTCTACACAAATTAGGTACTATCTTCATTTTTTTTTTAAATACAGCATTTTCCATTAGCAAATTGAACATCTACACAAGACCGGGCTCACTTTATTTAATAAACTAATAGAACAAACTAACAGAAACAAATAATTAATTAAAGTTAAAGTAGATTTTCAAAATGAACACCGTGAACGTCAATACACCTCTGCGAACGTTTTAACAGGTTTTTCACTGATTTGTCAATTATTTTCGGTTTATTTCTAATGTTGTTAATTTTTTCCAATAACTGTGCTCGGGTATTAATTTCTTCGATGTACACCTCTGATTTAAAGTAGCCCCATAAAAAATAATCCAGAGGCGTTAGATCTAGAGATCTTGGTGGCCAAGTGACGGGACCGCCTCGATCTATCCATCTATTTGGGAGACAATGATTTAACTGTGCTTGGGTATTAAGTGATTTTTTATAAATTCCACACCAAACAATTAATGTGTGTTCAAGTCGCGGGATAGGTCGAGGCGATCCCGCCAATTGGCCACCAAGATCTCCAGATCTAACACCTCTGGATTATATTTTATGGGGCTACCTTAAATTAGAGGTGTACAACGAAGAAATGAATACCCGAGCACAGTTATTGGAAAAATTAATAATGTATTAAACAACGTTAGAAATAAACCGGAAATAATTGACAAATCAGTAAAAAACCTGTTAAAATGTTCGCAGAGGTGTATTGACGTTCACGGTGTTCATTTTGAAAATTTACTTTAGTTAATATTAATTATTTGTTTCTGTTAGTATGTTCTGTTACTTTATCAAATAAAATGAGTCCGGTCCTGTGTAGATGTTCAATTTCTTATTGGAAAATGCAGTAGTTAAAAATAAATGAAGATGGTACCTAATTTGTATAGAGTTTTAAAAATAAAGAGTAATATATTTGATTTCAATTTTGTAAAAACTGATTTATAATATTGTAGTCGCCATTATAAAAATTGACTGTAAGAAAATCAAGATGGTGCCATTAAATATTATTACATTATTTTATTTATTAATCCGCGTACTATTTGAATGTGCAGTAAGATTTATTAAAATCCGATATACATGGTGATATTCTAGCCAAGAAGAGCAATATAAAAAAAAAGAGAGTCCGGTCGTGGAATTTTTTAAAATTAAATTATGGTTTTGATTGACCTAAAAGAGTGTAACTTTTGCACACAATTTTATCAAAATAACTAGCCGTTCAAACAAAATGGCCGATTTTAGTTTTGGCAAAAAATCATAAAACACCCTATATCTCAGAAACGAGTAAGATTAAAAGCTAAGTATTGGGGTGTTTTGAACTCAGCTAATTGTACTCTACCTCCCATTAAGCTGTGTCCGTTTAAATCTGAAAGACCCTGTATAGCTATTGAATCCATCAGCACGTTTATTTTCTATAATAATTTCGTTTGTTTGTTTTTTAGATATACCAGATGGATCAAAAAATTCGCTTTACAAGAAGTTCCTCAAATCTAACTTTAAAGGATGTTTGTTTTTTGTAAGTATTATATCATAGTTACAATTTAAAATGATATTTTACCAGGACCTAAACGTGAAATTTATGTGTTTTTAATTTAAATAGCATCACAACCAACTCTAACAATCCAGAAAAAAATAAAAAAATGTTCTATGATAATAAAATAAACAAAACACAAAATCCTTTAAAAATATTTAACAAAGTTCGAATTCAGTTATCGATTACAAAAATCACACAACCACTTCTTGGCTTTGGCTGTCCACAATTTGGTGGATCAGACAATAACCATGTGAAATAGAAAATGGTTATTATAAATACTTTCCCGAGTGAGATGAAAAATAAGCTGTCTCCGCCCATAGAGTCGCATCTCAAGCCTATTGACAAACATTCTACCCCTCTCCAGTTCATTGGTTTGGATTGGACTTGCTCCCTTTTTGCAGGACTAATTACTATTTGCATAAGATTCGTAAAAGATGCGGTACCGGGATTTCAATGCAAGGATGGGTTATTGTAGAATTGAAAGTAGACTGTGGAATAAAAAATAAATATTTATTTAATTTTAAAATAAATTGTCTCCCCTATCAACGGTCGTCAAGGTTCGCACAGGGATTCTTATGTGCAAACTCGACACATTTCGTGTTGAATAGAGAGAAACATTACATAAGAATCGTAGTCTGTCAAACGAAGATAGGCGTCTCGAATATAGCACAGGATCCGAAATAAGGTCGACCTTCACCCATCTGTTTAACTGATAAAAGTTTTTTTTTATTAAATAAAATATGTTTATAAATATAACACAAATGGGTCGCCTGAGCAAATACTGCCATTTTTTACTTTCCTTTCTGTATAAAGATAATAGTCCAGGAGACATATTCGGAAAACGCCGACACGTTGGATACTCGTATCAGTTCGGTATCGAGAATAACAACCTCGTAAAATCTCGACGTCTTAGACTAATACGTCGGCGATTAACGAATACGAGTTACCGTGTAACGGTTGGGAACCGTTTTCGTAATTTTGACGCAAACATCTTCACTCTCATGTCATTTGTCGTTTATGCCTTGCGTCAAAAGTTCATTTTCATTTTCGATTTGTATCTGTCAACGAATAAGTTGATTTAAATTTTTAATTATCTGGGTCATCCGATGTACTAAATAAATTTTATCTATCGTATATTCCATCTGATTTTATTAGCCAGGCTATATCTAGACGGTTCTGTATAAGTTATATCTAAAGAAGTTCAAGCTGCATCTAAAAAAGTTTATTTCAAGTTATATCAAGAGGTTTACTTCGAGTTACATCTAAAGAAGTTTATGAGATTTAAGTTTATGAAGATTTATACCTAAGAGTTTGGTGCTACCCGAAGAGTATCGTTTGAGTCCCTATGAAGAAGGCCTATGCAAATCTCTCCTTTATACTACCTCCTGTTATAACAGATAAGTCTATTTTTATGCAATAAACCATCTAAATTTGAATTAGTAAATCTCTGTGAATTAGAATTTGTTACTGCCTTATCTAAAACTTGGTTTAAATATAATATCTTAATGGTTAGTGATTTTCTATATTTTTATCATTAACCGATAGTCAAGTATAGTAAGTTTTAAATATAATGGTGCCCAATTTCTTGTTTAAAGTAATACGAGTTATTTAATAACCTAACCTAAAACACTATAAAAAATAGATAAAATAACAAGTATCACATTACAACCGTTGCATTTATTTACAATTAAAAAATAATCTGAATAGAGACTTACATATACCTAGGCAATAGAAAAAGGAAACTAAAACTAAAATTTTTTAGTGATGATTGATGTCCATTAATCAATCATTTCATAAATCGCCTACGTATTAATTCTAACACGTCGGGATTTTACTAGTTTATCATTCGCGGAATCGAACTCTTCCGAGTAACTAACGTGTCGGCGGGATTCGAATATGCGTCCAGGAGGCAATGAATTTTTTTATACTTATTTTGTTGGGATGGTGACACAAAACGACAATTTGTGAGTCTGGCTAAAATTTTTGTATGGGTTCACTAGATAAAAAAAAGACCAGTCCACTTATTTTCTTTGTCATAAATATTTGACATTTATTAAAGTGAATCATTTTATTAATGGAAATAACAGTCTGGCACATCCTAACCGGAGGAAAGTCAGTCTGGCTGAAAATTTATGGATCCAAAAATTTGACCGATTTTTGAAATCCGTAACTCTTATTTTCCCATGCTTAAAATTTAACGTATCATTTGATACTGTCAAACTATAATCAAAAGTAAGTCTGGCTGATTTATGAAATTGCTAAATGAGTCTGGCGGCATCTTAAAAACTGTCAAAATTACAAAATTTTTGCTCATATTTTCCCGGATTTAAAAATTTGTCACATGATAAATAATACTATAATTTCATAGAAAATACACGTCTGGCTGTCATTTACAATCAAAGAAACACCGTCAGACTCACAAGTGATATAGTTGAATGAGGAAAGGAAGAGGCAGGTGCGTATTTAGGTTACGACGCTGAAAAGCGAGTACCCGAGAACAGCTGCCTAGGCTCTTGTCCCATATATTCCTATCTGTCACAATTACCGCTTTTCTATGCGTCATTGTCAGCATACATTAAAATGCAAACATATCCAGCCAATCAGAATTCATAATGCTCCAGCCGATCGAATGATTCTTCGTTTAATATCGTGTCAGTTCGTATTTTGTTGGAGACTTTGGAATTTGACGGTAATTAACCTAACCTAACCTATCCTTCTTCCATGCCTTAGATTTCAGAATTTCAGATTCTCGTCGGTTTGGTAATATTCGCTTATTCGCAATATTTTAAATCTATACATCTTATAGTTTGTATAATTTTGTTGAGTGCATAGGAGAGTCAAAAAAAATTAATACAACAGCAATTTTAATATTTACTACATCTGAGTTAAGTTAGTTTTATAGTGGTTTTGAAATTAATTAATTAATTTACTTAACCTTTTAGAATTTTTAATTTTGAACATTAACTAAATATTATTTTGCAGTTAACAAGAAAATATGGGGGTGGGTGGCTCAGTGGTAGAGTCTCTGCCTGCGGATTCAAGGGTCCCAGTTTCGAATCCCACCGTTGGCCGGGATTTTTTCGTTTAATTTAATTATTTAAAATTAATTCTGATGCCTTGGTAGGATTCCCCACTCGACCATTCACTGTTGGGTTCTAATTAACAGTGCTGTTCCTAAGGTGGCGCTGGGAAACAGTAACAAAGCCTACACAGAACACGAGGCGAAATAACCTTAGCAGTAGAAGCAAGAAAATATGGAATCACAGGGGGGTACCTAATTATTATTTTTATAATGTGGCATTTTCAGGATAAGAACATTAATGTTATAATATAAATCTTATGTTTATTTTGCAGCCATAAAATGTAAGTTGTGGAATTGGAAATTTCATCCAGAATCTGCTGGACAGGAACAAAATAAAGATATATGTACAATGTATAGCAATAAATTATGAAAAGTAAAAACATGTAGAGATGACAAAAATCACCTGTATTATTGAACATGCCGAATTTAGCGCGCCTGACGAACGTTGGACGAGTCTGGCAAGGCTTTGGGGGTTTTCCACATTAGCCAGACTATATTTGCAGCTGTAATTATAATATAAATTATCATCTGACCAATTTTTAGGACTGCGAAAATAAGGTCAATGGCTTTGGTAATTTTTCTTCCAATTTTTCATCTGCCAGACATATTACCCATACTCACAGATTAGCCAGACTATTTTTTGTTCTTAACTTCACTATATATCTCACTAATAGAACGATTTTTATTACTGAAAAAAAAGTGCAGTATATTTGCACTATCAAACGCATTTTCCGCCTCAACTCATCGGAACCCCCCCCCTCTACATATATATGAATTTTCTTTAGAATAACAAACCGAATAATTCTAGCGATGTTTCCTGACTGGAAAAATAAGTACTAAAAAACTTTACTGGACTGGACTATAAGGAAAGTATAGGAATCATGATAAAAGTTGCTTGTGAGATCATTCTCTATAATTTTGGTCCGTTATTGACTAACCTACAATTTTAATCTAAAAATCTTATAAACTAATTGTTGGAGATATTAGCTTTTTTTAATCTTGTAGAGTAGTGGTAATAAAACACACGTATTTTCACAACTTTCTATTACAATAATTTAACTAGTATAAACAGGACAAAAGTACTTTCAGCAAAATTAACTACAGAACTAGGTACATATTTTTACAAGTAACATAAATGACACCAGTCACAAAAACATAGATTAAAGGACATGAGAGTTAACAAAACGGATATGTTGATTGTGACTCTATTATTGATTATTTCCAATACCAATATTACCAATTACTTATCTAAGAAGTTCCCATTGGGCTCTATTAATTGTTTCTATAGGAAAGCATAACAAGTTGGCGTGACGATTTATTACATTGTTTTACACTAGCACTAACATTAACGTTCACTGCACTAGCTTAAATGGCTTCTTCCTTTTGAGCCTTCTGTTGAGTGTGTATAGTTGTCCAGTAATTGCAGCGCTGATGTGGGAAAGGAATCGAGCCTCATGTTTCGCAGCAAACTTCTTTATTTCTTCTTCTTCTTCTTTTTCTTCTTCTTCTTCTTCTTCTTCTTCTTCTTCTTCTTCTTTTTCTTCTTCTTCTTCGATTGTTGGCATCTTCAGATCTCTATGAAGATAATCGTTTCGATAAAACCAAGGTGCATCAACGATGGATCTTAGGACTTTATTTTTCAAAACTTGTATCATGTTGATATTACTCTTGCTGGCACATCCCCATAGCTGTATGCCATAAATCCAGATTGGTTTTAGGATTTTTTTATAAATCAGCAGTTTGTTGTAAACTGACAATTTGGATTTTCTTCCTAGAAGCCAATCAACTTTCTTTCGTAACTAGCCTAATTTCAAGTTGTTCCATATTATGAATCGACTCGAAAGAAGTGTCTTGATTTTCATCTAATTGGAACGTCTTTTGTAGGTGGTCAGCGAAAATATCAGCTTTCTGTTAATTGTCTCTTGCCCATTTGTTATCTGCTATTCTGATAGGAGGACAGTTTTTACACGAATTATTCATCTGTTAGCAACTAGGTATCTGTTGAAGGATTCTTCTGCTGATCTTGTCATCTGACATTTCATTCTTAGTTTTCTTTTTCCTGCTACCAATTCTCTTATCTCGACAGGATAGTTTTTTCCAGCTATTAATCTTCTTACTTCTGGTGCAGCTTGCTGTATTTTAACTAAACATTCCCAGTTTTTTATCTAGCTGTTTTTTCGTTTTTAGTGTTATGGTCAGTTGAATAGTATTTGTTAAATCCTCTTGAAAACATTCCCAATTAGTTTTCCGATTTGCTAGGGTCGGTTTTGGTTCTTTCTGAATAACCTTATCACTTAGAGTAAGGATTACTGCAGAATGGTCTAAATTCATATCAAAGTTTTCTTCTACTTTTGTATAGTTTGGTGAAATTTTCCTCAGAATAAAAAATCCAAAAGGTCTGGAATCGAATTTTGGTCGGTGCGCCAATAGGTAGGTTTTTCAAAAGCAAAAGATTGGTATGTACAACCAAGTTCTGATGCAGCTTGGTGCAATTCTTTTCCTTTGACTGTAGTTAATCTTGAACCCTAGATGGTGTTTTTGGATTTGTAATCTCCCACCGATTATAAATTTGTTACCTAGTTTTTTGAGTACATTGAAATAATTTTTTTTTTCTGGTTGTATCTTGGAGGGCAATAGATTGTGGCTATTGTAATTTTGCCCCCTTAATGTTAATGGTGCTAATGGTTACCTGATTTTCTATTTCTTGGATGCCTGGTTCCTCATAGTGGGAAATGTTATTTTTAATAATTTACGCACTTCCTCTTCTTGCTGCATTTGACGGATGGATGGATATGTGATAGAAGTTGTATCCTCTGAACTTAATATATGACTAGTAAGGTGGGTCTCAGAAATCAGACATATATCTATTTTTTGTACGTCCACTTTGTTTTTCGAGAATACCATTGGCATTCCAAGTGGCTATTCTAATATCTCTTTTGTCCATTGGTGTTTATTTAATTCTTCTAGCTTCTGAAGCCTACTCTGGTTATTAAGGACAATAATAATTCATGAGTGGTACTTCCTGCTAGGCTGGCTGACTGTGCAGTGTGCTGTGCAATTTGTGGTGTAGATTCATATCTGTTAACTTTGAATTGGTTGCTCCTGTGAGTTTGTTACCTGAGAATGTTATTTCATTTCTGACAGTAGGAGAAGCGTTTATGGGTCTCCTTTGCCTCGTCATTATTTTAGGTTTAGTGGTGTTATCCTTCCTTATCTGAAAAGTTTTAGTTACCTCACATCCTACATAGCAGGATGTTCCATTAGGTAGTTTACATACTTCGGTTGTTGTTCTGGACTTTTTACACAATTCCTTCCTATGATGTTTTCCTACACACTTTACGCATCTTGATTCTCTTTTGGAAAAGTTGTGTTTATGTCCAAATTACTGTCAGTTTTTGCATTGAGGAACTAGTTTTGACTTTCTTATAGTTTCTTTTCTAACAGCATGAATAGCGGCAATGATTTTTTATTTAGTTTACGAGTATTATCCTCGGTTAATTCTATTGCCTTCTTTATTATATTGACAGCTTCTTTAGATTTTAATCCTTGACTTTGCAAGACTTCAACAATATCTTCTGGTTTAGATGTAGGTGGTAGACTTCTATCACTTTAATGTCTCTGTTCTGTTTAATTTCATAAGAATTCCAATTTATGTCCTATACATGATTTTTCTAAAATGGACCTTATTCGAGATATTTGAGGAAAAGTGCAAATTTTGAAATTTGAAGAAAACTCAAAAACGGATAAAGAGAAAAACACCAAATTTTAAACTTAAGCTTTAATCCATCCTGCGGTGAAATGATTAAATTTTTGGCATAGTCGAAGCATCTGGGGAATACTTTACAGAGTGTCGTTTTTTTTACTTTAAGAAAATAAACAGTCTTCACCGTATTTTCTTAGGAAACTCATTTGCGGGATATTTATAAACATATTTTATTTTATAAAAAAAAACTTTCATCTATTAAACGGATGGGCAAAGGTCGACCTTACTTCGTATCTTAGACCAATATGCTGTTATAAAAGATGAGAATCCCACTGCAGGATGCACCTCAAAGGATATGCCTGCTTTAAGGCTTAACATAATTATGACAGCAGTACCGACATTGACACTTAAATAAAAATAAAATCGACAGAAAAGTCTTGAACTGATATGACATGTAAGTCAAAATTAAAGGTAAGATTATGTGGGGATCGCGATGTCGCCACAGTTATCTTCCACCAATTCCTGTGGATTTCTTCGAGTTTAATGAGTTGGTTACGCATATAACTTTGTTGTACATTGTACCAACGTTGTGATTTTATTTTGTTGCTGTCAATCCTTACTGATTGGAGAGTTGTGCGTTATCTGGAAGATTGTGCTGAACCTGAATCCAGTTCTGCAATAAGATTTATTCTTTTCATTTTTTTTTTTTTCAGAATACCAAAAATAGATAAAGGACTGTTAAAGTTCCTGGATGGGGATGACCCACGCCTAGATCCAAGCGCAGCTTCGACTCCAGAACTGTATTGCACGTTCGTAGAAGGCATCAAAAAAGAATGCTATACCAAAAGTATATTAGATCTATGGGAATACGACAAAAATATAATTATGAATCTTACCAAAGAAGACATTATCGCGGCTGTAAATTCTGATTCAGAGTAAGTAATTTTGAGATAAACCACTGGTTGTGGAATGTTTCGTTTATAGATGAATTTTGTTACAGCAATATTTTTGGTCATTTAAAAAGTTACAAAGACTTACTAGGTACGGTCCAAAAGAACGAATCGGGCCATATAATTGCAGCTAAAGCAATTTACAATTATTGGTATCTAACTAAAAATTTTTCAGCTATTGATACCGATAAAACGGGAAATTATGCCGGAACAGGAGATTGGGTAAGTTTATCTAGTTTTACTTCAATATCTAGTCGTATTGGGAAACAATAGTAAAGCCTATAACAAATGCTAATTATTGATAACGATGGTTAGAGTTTTTAATGTTTTCATTTTTTAGGCCACAGAGGAGACGATCGAATGGGAAGGGCTATTTTTGGAAATAATGGAAGAATTTAGCCGTTCAAATGAGAGTTACTATTATGCTGGAAGAAGGTAAGATCTCTTTTTAAATAGAATATAACTGTTGCATTGGCAATACATATTTCGAAAACTAAAAATTGTATATAATGATTTTCCAATGTTCATCATTTCTAATACATCTGCAACATTTAAAATATTTGATTGAAATAATATATTTGATGCATAAAGTAACAACAGACACCTTATTTTATTATTTATCTACTTTAATTTCAAAAATGGAACCAAGTTAAATTGTGTTATATCGCAATAATTTTATACAAGGAATTAATAGTTGCTTTGTATCCCATTATTAACCGATTACCCTGTATATAACATATTTTAAATAAATGAAATGACACAGGTTTTCAAATACCTTCATAAAAATTCAAAATAGATAAAACTAAAAGAAAAACAAAGCATATAAAAATATTTAGTAAAGTTGAAGCCTTCGATTTGCCATGTTGTGGAATTTTTGTTGTCATTCATCTATTTTATCGGGTCTCTTTCATTCAAGTTATAAGAAACAACATACCTGCCATTGTCTCGCGAGTCAATGACCTTATTTGAGCTTTTTTATCACAATTAACGTTGAAAAGGTAGACTCGCATGAAGCAGTCCTGTAGCCGAATGTTGTCACTGATGTAAAAAGATCATATGTATCTTTAAAGGCTTCCCCTTTTAACGGTAAATAGTTATTTAATTTAAGCTATATCATCAGGAATTTCAGAACTTGTAGGTCTAACTGCTAGATCTTTTGTATATAAACACATCATAAAGATGAACCAGCAGGCGCACTCCGCGTAAAAATATAAGTATGCCGACAGCATCATCCTAAGCGAGCGATTCGCCATATTCTCCGGATGGTCAACGTCAATCGTGTAGCATCTCTCATACAGAGCATATGCATCAGAATTATGATTGAAGCTGACGAAAACTCACTTACTACTTACTAAGACCATTCACTGTTGGGTTCTAATTAACAGTGCTGTTCCTAAAGTGGCGCTGGGAAACAGTAACAGCCTACACAGAACACGAGGCGAAATAACCTTAGTAGTTGAAGCCGATGACACAAAAAAAAATCAGAGGATTTCTTATCGAGTGCGCCTACTGGTCCATCTTTATTCTGTGATATAACTGTGTTTTGGAATAACTTATTTGTTCTTTTTCAACTTCATTATCAAGTCGCGTTCTTTTTTTGAAGGACAACTCTTATATCCATACTCATATTTCGTTGATTTATTAACGGCGTGGGTTGCCATACGAGGATGGGATGAATAATTTCCAGTATATGAGAAAAAAAATACGAATTCAAAAGTCCTTTTATTTTTCGTCAAAGTTTCCTTTTCGCTCAATAAAATTTGCCTAACGAAATTCAACAACTTTTTTCTACACCCACATGGATATTAGCTTATCTACGCACAGATTACAAAACGAAAAAGTATGCTATTGCCTTCAACTGAACGATTATATTTCATATCCATTCTAGATAGTGAGAACATTGCAAAAAAAATTAAATCCACCAATCACCGTTCATATTTTGATCAACCGACTGCTATTATCTTTAAAATTTTAAATAAGTGACAATTTTGTCAAACTAATTGTCAGTATATTTTTTAATTATTGAGATTAAATATACATTAAAATGGGTTATTTTTGTGTAGAATCGATAAATAATAGCATTCCTGTTTTTATTTCGTCTATAATTATAAATAATTTGTTAATTTAAATAAAAATATATGAAGTCAATTTAATTACGAGTATTAAAGCAACAAAAATAAAAGAATAGGTGGTCCTATGGTTAGCGTTCTTGCCTTCCACACTGAATCGAATTCGATTCTCGAATGGGGAAAAATGAAATAATCTTTTTTCTTTTTTTTTTCGTTTATTTTATTTAAAAAATATTAAAAGTCATAAATTATTTTAAAATTAATTATTTTGTCTTAATAGCCTAAAATATTTTTATTATTTGTACATTTTCGTTAGTGGGTCATAGAAAAACTATTCTATACAACTCGAGTGGATTATCCACATTACACTCAGACGATTGAGCACTATGGCGATATGGCCATCATATCCACTCTTGTTGCACAAACTACTATTATGCCGCTCCTATATATGTTCATCTAGCTTTTTCATATATACGTTTGTGCTGGCATTGACTTCCATAATCGGACGTATATTTCTTGTCTGCATGAAATTTTGTTACGTGCATGGGGTAGTAATTCAAATCCATCCAAGTTCATCAATTATAGCCAACACAATAATGGACTTGTGACATGGCGCATTGTCCTGATGGAACAAAACTTGTCTTTTCGATAATTCCAGTCTTCTCTCCAGAATAATTTTCTGTTGCAGCTGATCAAGAAGCAAGTTAGCATATTATTGTTTATTTATTGTTTTACCTTTTTCAAGATAATTAATAAGAATAGTACCTTTTGCACCCCAAAATACCGACGCCCTGACCTTTCCGGCCGATGGAACCAGTTTCACCTTCTTTGGGACTGATTCGCTTTTGGCGATCAAAATCATAGCCCACTATAGAGTGAAGTTGTAAATTATTCATCCCATCCTCGTTTGTGATTAAGGCGCATTTAACAGAAAAACACAAAAGAGCGTTTTTAAATTCTCACAATTTTATCTATGTTTAAAGTCACAATGTTGATCTTACAACGTTGATGTCACAACGTTGATCTCACAATGTTATTCTAAAAATGTTAATCTAACAATGTTAATCTAACAATGTTAATCTAACAATGTTAATCTAACAATGTTAATCTAACAATGTTAATCTAACAATGTTAATCTAACAATGTAAATCTAACAATGTTAATCTAACAATGTTAATCTAACAATGTTAATCTAACAATGTTAATCTAACAATGTTAATCTAACAATGTTAATCTAACAATGTTAATCTAACAATGTTAATCTAACAATGTTAATCTACCAATGTTAATCTAACAATGTTAATCTAACAATGTTAATCTAACAATGTTAATCTAACAATGTTAATCTAACAATGTTAATCTAACAATGTTAATCTAACAATGTTAATCTAACAATGTTAATCTAACAATGTTAATCTAACAATGTTAATCTAACAATGTTAATCTAACAATGTTAATCTAACAATGTTAATCTAACAATGTTAATCTAACAATGTTAATCTAACAATGTTAATCTAACAATGTTAATCTAACAATGTTAATCTAACAATGTTAATCTAACAATGTTAATCTAACAATGTTAATCTAACAATGTTAATCTAACAATGTTAATCTAACAATGTTAATCTAACAATGTTAATCTAACAATGTTAATCTAGCAATGTTAATCTAACAATGTTAATCTAACAATGTTAATCTAACAATGTTAATCTAACAATGTTAATCTTACAATGTTATTCTAAAAATGTTATTCTAAAAATGTTATTCTAAAAATGTTTATCTAACAATGTTAATCGAACACTCTGTTAATGTTAATCTCACAATGTTATTTAAATGACCTTTCCTTTTCCTATCAACGTAATACTTAGTTATCAGTCATACAATTTAAAATAAGTAAAAGATTTCAAAGCAAGAAACAAGAAAGGACATGTTGAGGACACGGATGTGAATGTGCACAGATAAATAAATAAAAAGAGATGGTGTGATGTATTGTGCAATATCGACTGGCTATTTTTAAAGTAGACCATTGCCCCTATGTGCCCTTATATCTAGGTGTAGGAGAAGGAAAATGATTTTGTCGCATTTTGGTGCAAGAATGTCATAATCTCGCACGCAAAATTGTTGAAGAATGAAGCTCATTCTTAAACGATTTTTTGGTTATATTTTTTGTGACATTTCAGTTGACATTCACTAATAACTGCCAGTGGGAAGGGCTCGTAAATCTAAGGGGGTTGCGACATAGCCTTCCATCTTGAACGCTATTTTTATTTGACATATTAGTCTCAAGCCTGCCAATTTATAGAAAATGTATAAACGATTTTTTTTAAATAATATTTTTATTGTATAATATTTAAATTTAATCCACTATATGATTTCACGTATTGTATGTCGCAACCGTTGGTTAGTAACTAATTGCACAGAACAATTACTTTTAGAATGGAAACTGCAATGTTAAAATTTGAGACAGTTTTGTAACACCCGGTGAGCGTTCTTTGAACTATTTGGCGGAAGTGGCGCCATCTCGCGGTCACTTTAGTTAACACAAAACGCGGGAACATTCAAAATGGTCCTTCAATATTTAGTTTAAAAGTGGTAGTCAAATTAAGATTTGTTCATACAAACTCTTTTTTTACGTTTATTGTAGCAATAAAATTATATTTGTTACAATAAAGCAAAAAATGAGTAGTATGAACCAATCCTAACTTGACTACAAGTTAAAATATTTTTACAAAAAATTAAGAAGCATGATCAACAAAATTAATTTATTAAAACAAAAAAAAACATACAAAATAGAATAATTAAATGTAGCGTGTTAATTAGCTGGAAAGTTAAGTCATTGTCCACAGAGGTTGAAGAGTTTTATCTAAAACAAAAAATAAATATTGATCAACTTATAAATCAAGAAGGGTACAGGAAGAAAAAAGCAGCTAAGCCACATTTTTATCAAAATTGAACTGGTCCGCCCTATTTTGTAAAATACCAGTATTAGCAAATGCAAAACAGTGCATTTAAAATTATGTCCAAGGACTTTCCTACTGTTTGTTTGTCATTTTCAGTATTTAGAATAAAAAATTACAACTGTCTGGTAAATGAAGTGGTAAAGTACAATATAATCAGGCAACATTTAAACAAAGTAACATCTTTTTGTAATCAATTACCTTAAAGTATCAAAAGTTTGTATTTAGTCAGTCTAAATTAAATTTGGTTTTCTGAACATTTTGGTAATTGTGACTAGGCCCCTTTTTTCCTGAACCCTTCAAATCTGTTGGGGAGCACAGAAAGTGAGGCATAAATAAAAAAAAGGTATACTGACCATTACTTCCCGGACTAGGCTATTTTGTCTTCCACAATCCAATATTGCCATTCCAAACGGCTTGAAGAAAGTTTGTACTAGAACAAATAAAAAACAGTAAAAGTAACAATCTGAACTAAATCAATATAAAAATCAAATATGAGGCATGAATACAAAAAGTACAGTGACTATTACTTCCCTGACTAGGCTGTTTTGGTCTTCAATGATGCAATACTGCCACTCCAAACGGCTTGAAAAAGTTTGTACTAGAACAAATAAAAATACAGTTAGATCGCTGCGTGCACCAAGAACTTTAAATATATTTTCAAAATGTTTATCACATACTAAATAGTTTTTACAAATTTGTTGTTTTATTGAAAAATGGACTGCGAACACCCAATACTCAAATTTGAAATAAATCGTTATTAGGATTTCAGAGTGTTTACAAAACAATTTGGCATACAACAATACGATATATTACAGCTTTTATAACTAAAAATTACCACAAAAATTTAAAATAAGCTCAATCGTCAGCAAGATCAAGTAAACAAATTGAACATTTAAAACACAATTGAACAAGACCAAGTTGACAATACAATGAACAATTATTTACAAAATACTTACTATTTATTCATCCAAGATCCAGAGAACACCCAAATACAAACAAATAATAATTATTGACAATATGATATTGATAATCACAAAAAATACAGGTAAAATGGCAAATGTCATTCACCGCGAGGTAATCGATAATGGATGCCTGACAATGACAAATGACACTCCCACTCTTTCCACCATCAATTGTAGATTTCTGTAAATTGTTGTGTACAGTGCCATCTAGAATCTGTTCCTTGAAACAAAAATATAGTTTCAGCTCGGGCTATACTAGTTACCGATACCTGACTAACTGCTACCAACTGACATATTTTGCGTATAATACCCAACTAACAACGACCACAAAAAAAATAAAGAAACAGGTAAATAAAGCCAAACATCCAGAAAATAGTATAAAACACACGTTGCAGAAGGCTATTCTCGCACTCATTCGTTCATCCACTCGCTCCTTCGTCGCTCGTGGCCAAATTTCGAATTCGTGCGGGAATATGTGGCCTTCAGCAACTTGTATTTTAATATACTACTATTTAATCACAGTCTTAGTGAAATTTGTCCATATTTATTCAAGAATACCTAATTATAATTTTATTAATTACAGTTTTGGTGATATAAGCAACGCTGTTTTATTTCAAGATATAGACAAATTAGCTTTCGGCATAACAATGATGATAATCTATATTCAGCTGGTGATATCGAAATTTAACTGGGTTGAAGCACGGGTAAGTTTAGTTATATATTTTAGATCTTATTAAATAATGACGTCAGAATGTATCTTCCGAATCTATGTAACCATGAGATCTACAATAAAACACAAAAAATAAATACAATATGACTCCATGTAATGTGGGATTGCCTATTTTCAGGGCACACTATAATATAGTCAGTTCATTACTCATCATTTGTTAATCTACCTTTTCTAAATTTGCTAAGCTTGAACTATTTTTACCACAAAGCACCTATTTTCTAGAGACCTTTACAATTATATTAGACTTTTAAACCAAATTAGCGCCATCTTGTGTTTGGAGTAGGAACTAAAATGACAATTGACAAATGATGATAAATTCAAGTTATAATTTTTTGTAGTGGGTAGTAATACTAAATTACATTTTAAATAAATTCCACATAAATTATTTTATAAAATAAAGTATGGAACTAGTAAGTTTGAAACTTTTATTTTACAGAACAAAGCTGAGGAATGCGCTAGTTCAGTGTGATGTCATTTTGGTTCCACTGACATTTAATTCTAACCAAACTTTTAACAAAAACATCAATAAATTTGACATATACGTTTTTACTGTTTTAAGTTTATTTCTAAATATTGTTTACAGGTCATAAAAAATAGTTGAAAGGTATGTAATTGGTAACTAAACGATTGTATATTTCATGGATGTTATCTACTTACTTTAGGAATATATTTATAAAAGTGAAAAAACGATATAATTTAGGTAAACAAAACGAACAAAACGCACTCAAAAAATCTACTGTCACTTTAATTGTCAGTGGAACCATAATTACATCATCACTGAACTAGCGCATTGATTTGTTATAACGTGTCTGATGTGGAAAGTTGATCTTATATATTATTATTAAATAAATATAAGTTATAACAATAAATAATAAATTAGTACATTATTAAAATATGTTTATTTATAACTCACATAAATTTTATTAGAACAAAATAAATACCAATAATAATACATAATGTAACTACGCGCATTTACCGAATACATTATTTTTGAAAATGTATGTTAAATGTACATTTTTCTGCTTACAAATTTCTTCTGGAATTTCATTTTCAAAATCCATATTTTTAAATTTACGAAAACAAGTTTGACGTAAACAACAAATTAAAAATCAACGAAATGTCACTTGGCAATAAATCGGAACGTTGTTACCATAGTAACAAAATCAAGGCAGACTGTATTATCAAACAGCGATCGGAAAATGAAAAACAGGGACCGGTAAAAGCTTTTACCGGTCCCAAACGTCTACTTTCCGGTCTTGATAGGCAAAACGTCATTTTCTGGACTAAAAATTATTCAGAAAGTGTATACTTTCTGGTCGGTCTTAAAAAAAGCGTTTGGTTCTAAAAATATTTATAAACAATCAAAAATAATAAAACTGCAACTTATAAAACTAAATACCTAAGTCTCTTTAAAAATTGAAAGTAGATATATAAAATGAGGTATTTAAATGACATTTATTTGTAGCCCCCTCCAAACACTAGAAGTCTTTTCCTTTGCATCGAAAGTGTAGCATTGAGCTTCGCCACTTCTGAAAATATCTGTGTCTGTAAGGAATTTAGTTTGGGTACGTCAAATAATGTGTCAACATCAATTCACTTACCTCGTGCCAAAATTATGTAAATGACATATTCCTTCTTAATTCAAAAAAACAACTCCTATAATCTCTTTTAAAAATACCATTTACCCAAATGAAATAATTTTTAAATTCAAATATTGTTTGTTTTAATTTAAAAATATTCTAAAAATCTCTTATCTGTAAATATTCTTTTATGTTTTATTTATATTATTACTTTTATTGTCTACTTATTACTTTACTATTAGTTTAAAATAATTCAAACTTGTATTAAAAAAAATGAAAATATTGTCCACGCTCTGGCATTCCTTTTGCTGATGTTTTTATCTTTATTTACTATTTCAAATTGAGTAATTGAATTATATTATTAGATCTTGCCAATATAGGAATAAAAGAATGAGAACTATAATTTGTTCTATGGAAAGGTTGGGAAAATGTATTAACATTCCTAGTTGAACAATAAAGAATCTTTAAACACATCACATTCTGAAAATTAGAAGTAGTTCTTCTAAACAAAGCCAATACATTCTTAATGCTTTATAAACTGAGGCCGTTATATAAGGTTGAAAATAAAGAGTGGAATCTAGAATCAGGCCCAAATAAATATATATAACAGGTTTCTGTTTTTCTGCTAAAAATTGGTTGCGTGGCTTTTACTTATATTAAATTCCATGCCATTAATACTACAAGTACATCATTGGACCAAATTATCCATGTCTTTTTGAAGACAAATACAATCATATAATGAATAATTTTAAATCATGAGCAAAACAAATAAACTGAACATTCTCAAAATAATCTCGAATATAATTTTTAAATAAGATATTAAAAAGTATAGGTCCAAATGTGACCCTTGAGGAATTCCATCGGGTCTCAAATTGGCGCGTATCTATGCTTTTGCTGTTCCCGTCGATCTGTAAAGTCAGATAATTTTAATAAAATTAATGAAAATTCTTCGACATTTTTAGAATTTGTACATATAATTATTTTTCCATTATATCTTTGATCTTTGATGGTTTTTTTTTTAATTATGCGGAAATAATCTAGTCTACAGAGGTGCACTATTATCCTATTTGATACAACTGAGATTGGTGATATGAAAGTGATTCATATAGTATTACAGGAACACGTCAAAAACTCTGTTCTTTAATTAGGTCTGTCACTACCGATTTTGTCAGACCAATGGAAGGGCCAGGTCCAAAAAGTATTTGGTTGGCTGCTTTCTTGGCCAGTTAATAGCAAGACGGTTTCCTTTCGATGTGGCGTGACCTTTGATCCATCTTAATGTGATCACATTGTTGATGGATACTTCGGCCAAAGCTTTGTGACATTCTAGTACTAACCCTGAGCAAATTCGTGGTCTCTTCAGGGTGGGTAGTGCTTGTCTGCTATCTGTATAGATGAGCATATTCCTTCCAGTGATATTGTTTCTGGTTATTTTTTTGCTGCTAAGAGAATCCCCGTTAGCTGTGTTTAAACTACACTAGCACTATTGCTCACAGCCCATTTTATGTTTTGGTTTAAGAATCTGGAGTATAGTCCACATTCTGAGCTTTGTTTTGTTTTAGAACACTCGGTGTAGATATGAATCGTACCTACCACTTCTGGCTCTTCTATTTGTTCTATTATAAATTTATATGGCTTATGGAAGATATATCTGGGTGAGATGGCGTCCATGTTCGCTTGAAGCAGTGGGAGCGGATCGAGCGTCTCCTGCCAAAAGCGACGTCTCGCCTCACCAGATCCTACATCAAATTCTATTTCAACCGTGCGGAGGTGTGCCATTGTCGTCAGAGCAACCTCCTTGACTTCCATGGCTCTGGTCGGTGTTGTTTTCATGGCTCATGTTATGTTGAGACATGCTGTTCTATGAATTTGTTCTAGTTTACGGATAGCTGTTAATTTTTGGGTTTTCGGTACCCAGACAACTGCACCGTATGTTAGCATAGGTCTTATAATAGCCGTGTAAGTCCTTGTGACGACTCTGGAGGAGAAACCCCAGGTGCGCCCCACGGTTCGGCGGTATTGTTCATAAGCATAACTCTGTTTTCTAAGTGCGAGTTCCATGTTACCTTGCTGTCGAAGGTGAGACCTAGGTACTTCACCTCTGTTGCAAAGTTTAGTTTTGTGTTTAGGAGTTCTGGAGGTTTTAATTCCATTTGCATCCTTTTTCTTGTGAAAAAGACCATTTCTGTCTTCTTAGGATTGATAGTGAATGGTCCTTGCACCACTGTTCTATAATTTTTAGAGCTACTTGCATTCTTTCGCAGAGTATGTTCTCAAAATTCCCTGTTTGCAGAATGACCAGGTCATCTGCATATGCTATTTTATGTAGTGACTGTCATTATTGAGGCGGCTGATGAGGGTGTCAAGGACCATATTTCACAGTAGAAGTGATAGCACCCCTCCTGTGGACATCCCTTCGTAACCAAGCCTCTTATATTCACATCTTCTACACTTATGTTTACTGCTCGCTTTGAGAGCATGTTATGATTGTTATGTATCCACCCACTAACCATTTGTGGAACATTCCTGTTGGTTAGTGAGTGTATTATCTTTGGGAAGGTGGTTTTATCAAACGCACCTTCTATGTCTATGAAAACACCCAAGGCGGACTCCTTATTGTCCAGGGATCTTTCTATCCGGCCAGCAACTAGATGAAGGGCTGAATCAGTAGATCTACCTGGGGTGTATGCATGTTGGTTTGGGTGTAGTGGTGTTATTGTAATCCCCGCATCCCTTATGTTCCTTTTGCATATCATTTCCAATGTCTTAATGGAAAACGATGTCAGACTAATTGGTCGGTATGTTTTTGGGACAGTGTAATCCATCCTTCCAGGTTTGGGTATAAATACCACTTTTACCTCTCTCCATTTTTCGGGGATATACCTCAGAGCCAACGAGGATCTGAATATACCTACCAGGTGCGGTGTGAGTTATTTCAGACCCCACTGAAGTAGGGCTGGATAGATACCGTCAGGTCCTGGCGATTTAAATGGAGAGAAGCTAGATATTACCCATCTAATTTTTTCATTGTCTACAATGTGTTTGGCAGTTTGCCAATTATAGACAGATGGGTTGTATTCTTCCTCTGCCCAGTCGGCCACGTCTGTGATGACCGAGTCAGGGAAGTGTGTTGACAGCAGAAGTTTGATGCTATCTTCGAGGTTGTCAGTTTTCGTGCCATTCTCTATGATTAGAGCACCAATGCTTCGCTGCCTGCGGGAAATCTTCGATTTCTTCGCAGTAGGATCTCCTTGCATCTCTCTGTTTTTGTCTGACGATTTTTTTGTATTCTCTGAGTGTGAGTTTTGTGGTTCTTGCCTTATTAAAGAATTTCCTAGACATCTTCCTGAGGTGATCCAACTCGTGACACTATCATGCGGTGGTCTTCTGATCGTGTTGGACCAGCCTCAGGGGACAGAATTTCTTATAGGCATTGTTTATTGTGCTTTGGATAGTGTTCGAGTATTTCTCCAAAGCATTGTTATTGTTTGGTGTTTCGGCCTCCATCTCTCTCAGAGCCTCTTGGAGAAGGTGGGCATAGATTGCCCTGTCCGTCTTCCTAGGGTTTCGAAATAGCGTGGAGGTCGGCAACATTAAGTTTATTTTGAATGTTAACCAGCGGTGGTCTGACATCGAAATGTTATCAGACACTTGCCAGTTTAGAATTGATACCAGTTGTGGATAAAGTGATATCTATTAGTGTTTGATTGCGAGAGTTTAAAATGGTGTAGTACATTTTATTTAATTTTACCTCAACAAAGATTTTTGGTAATTATATAATCATAAAGCGACTTAACTCTAGCGTTGTTATCGTTACTGCCCCAACTGAAGTGATAAGCGTTTGAGTCGCAACCTATTACCAGCTCAAACTTCTGTTCCAGGCAGTATGCAATCAGATCCTTCATTTCTTAATGTGGCGTGGTTGCATCGGAAGGAAGGTATGCAGATGCCAGGATTAACTTTTTCTTTTCCCTTTTGATGGCGTATTCCATCCTAACCGCGTCCAGTGTATTTGAGAACTGTAATCGACGGTTCGGTTTGAACCAAAACAAACCGTTAAAATTAACATGAGGAATTCACAAATTTCTATAGCCCACCAATAATATATTTGCGACGTTGCCGGATGGATTTTACTTAAAATTATAACGTATCGGTATATACAGTGTGGTCCAATGAAAAGTATCCACTCCCCTTTCCTTGGTTTCCTCAGATTTAGAAGAAATGCTCGGACACGTCGATTTTTGTTTGGAGGGGGTCACAGTTTTTTCCTGATTGCATCATTGACACTTTAACCCTCGATCAGTGGGGTGAACAACCCCTAGAATTTAGATAAGTACTAAGTGTGGTAAATTTTTGAAAAGGTAATTCAGTAATGCCAATATTGTTGCATCAAATTTTGATATTAGCGTTCCCTTGAAGGTGAAACTTATGCACCTAAAAGCAGAAATGCTTGGACACGTCGATTTTTGTTTGGAGAAGAACACATTTTTTCCAAATTACAGTATTGATGCTTCGACCCTCGAGTATCAAGAGTGGCACATTTTTGAAAAGGTAATTTTATGGGCAATAAATTTCAAATTTGTTAGTATTTACGTTTACCTACTTTCTAAAAAAAGTAATAAACTGTAAAATTAATTTTTTAAAGATTTAAACGATAAATAAGAAATTTCGTTTTGATATAGTAGATCTAGTTTTTATTGGAATTCCAGTTGTAAGTTTTTATTAAAATAAATAATTTAGTACCTATTAGTCTAGTTAACAAGTGCTTTTTGGGTCAAACTTTTTTCTCCGCCTCCGAAAAATATGAAACAGGTGTCGTTCGATTCGGAATAGCGTGTAGATGGTTTTTGAAAAAATTCAAGAGCCGCTTGCAAAAATTGCAAAAGTTATAAACAATTAAATGAAAAACAAAATTGGGTTTGGTTTGTTGAAAATATCTCAAAAACTATTTAACATTTTCCAAATTTGAAAAAAGATTCAAAAAGAAGAAGAAATTTCCACAAAAAAAAGTTTTATCACCCGACTTAAAAAGCACTTGTTAACTAGACTATATTATTGTACTTGTTTTGACTCTTAATAAGCAAAATTTAAGTGAATTTTTCAGTAAGTATAATACCAAAACTGCAGAGTTGAGGTTCCTAAAGCCATTTTCGGAATTACTGTTCAAGTAAAATCCAATAAATAGGGTAGGTATATCACAAGAAAATAAATTGTTTGCCCTTTAAAATATTTAGCTCTTCTCTCCATTTTCCTCACTTTAAAATTTTAAGGGTGTGATTATCCCCACCAAGGGGTTGATGATGCGGGTTAAGAAATATGCTTCAAATGTGTCCCTTTATAAACAAAAATCGACATGTCCGAGCATTTGTGCATTAAATTCTTCGAGCATAATGCTCGAAGATTAAATTTCAGGAAAATATTAAAGGCTAGGTGCCTAAGTTTCGCCCTCAAGAGGGTGCTAAAATCGAAATTTGACCCAACAATATTGGTATTAATGAATTTAATTACCTTTTTAAAAATGTGCCACAGTTAGTACTTTCCCTATCTAAATTCTAGGGGTTGTTCACCCCACTGCTCGAGGGTTGAAGTATCAATGATGCAATTAGGAAAAATATGTTTCCCTCTCTAAACAAAAATCGACGTGCCCGACCATTTTTTCTTTAAATCTGAATGAACCAAGAAAAGGCGGGTGGATCATACTATATGAGCTTACATGTGTTGTGTACAGTCCCTTACAAAAATAAAATTTTTCAGCATTGAGGATCTCGAACTTTTGGTATTCACTATTAGGCGATATTTTTGTGTACGACTGTCGCGAGTCATATAACACAATTTGTCAATTTACGAGAGCTCTCTGTGGTAGAGCGTTGCCAGTCTAATATATACGTTCTCTTAACCTTTATTTGAAATCAGTTGACATTTTAGTACCATACATGTATGCATTCTTATCTAATAGAAATTACTTATACGTGATCTAAATAACCTTTAGTGAAGATTGTTCTAGGTTTCGTTGGTCTACTCTCGATTGGAATGTCCTTCATAGTTGGAGCAGGCATTTGCTCATTGTTTGGAATTCCATATGGCCCGGTCCATACATCTTTACCTTTTCTACTCATGGGTTTAGGTAAGTTTGGCAATTGACAGTTGACAGTGCCACATTTGTTCGACCTATTCCCTTTAGATATTTATTAAAAAACGGATCATTAACAATTTCTTATTTAATATACTCAATTTATAGCCATGTCTCTATTTTTACAAATATTCCGTTTAGTCCTTTACTAAAATCAATAGTTTATGCATTAAATTAAAAAAAAGTTTTCACTAAGCTTGACCGATTTTCAAAATATAAATTTGTTTTAGGCGTAGATGATATGTTTGTGTTAATGGCGTGTTGGGAGGAGTTAACCAAGGAAGAGAAAAAGTTACCAGTACCTGAGAAAATTGGTTTAATGCTCAAACACGGCGGAGTATCAATTACCATAACCTCGTTTACAGATGTGATAGCGTTCCTAATCGGTTCGTCAACGGTAAATAACAATTATTACAAATTTTGACATCTGCCAAATATAAAATATTGTCACACGTCAACATATGAATTTGACATACGTCATATGTCAACAATCTATTTTTGACGTATGTCAAACGTAAAATACGTCGTATCTGACTAATATATTGTTGATGCACAAGAATAGTGATACTACTACTCAAAAATGTCTATTTTCAAACATATTATGAAAATACATAACATATTTCTGTGTAGAAGAATGATACTGCAATTACAAAAATTACTGGAATGCGGTTGTGTCGTTTTTTCCGTACTACACAGTCCTGAGTTTAGGATGATGAAGAGTCACACAAATCTAGAAGTGCTCCGACAGTCAATGAGATAAGATCGTCAATTTTCGGCTAGAGTGACATAAATCAAAATATGCCAGTTTTATTAAAAATAAACTATATAAGAACATTATTTTCAACAGTGACACAAGTTAAATTAGGACAATATTGTTGAAAAGGTTATTATCTATATGGTTTGAAATATACTTTTCTGGAAGATCGTTATAACTCAAAAGGATTAAATATTTTTAAATCCTTACAGGAAACAGTAAACTTTAAAATGGATGTCTTCCAAAATCTATGTTTTTGAGTTGTGTCACTATTCTTGGGTACCACGATATATCAATTATAAAGAATTTTATTTGTAGATCTTGCCATGCCTCGAGTCGTTCTGCTTATACGCAGCAATGGGAGTCCTGATGACGTTCATTTTTGCCGTTACGTTTTTCGTTGCGTGTTTCGTGATAGATGAAAGAAGAATACAACGAAACAGAAACGGCGCTCTGCCATGGATCGTACATAGGGATTTCAAACCGAACAAATGCAGTCAGAGGAACATTACAAACTTAATTTTTAAGAAAATTTATTCTAATGTGATATTGACGACACCAGGAAAGGTTCGTTTTTTAGATTTGGACTAAAAACTACGTTTAACAAAATTGTAAATAATACCATAACTTCACATTACGAGTATTAGTAATTTAGACTGGGAAATAAAGACAAAAAAGCACGATTTATTGCCAATAATTCAAAAATGCGATTCCCTTTATTTCTAATATACTTCGTACCCTTGCTTCAAAAAGTCACAACTCAAAATAAACATCTTTTGAGTTGATACCATAACCTCAAAAATGGCACAGGCGCCATCTAGACCAGCCTCTTCTAAGCTAAGTTTAAACAATTTTGATGATTGGTTTAGGGTTTTGTTTGCTAATCACATTCATGATATTAATTCAAAAGATGTGAATTTTGAGTTGTGGTACTTTTGAAGCAAGGACCTTAGACCAGGTAAATAAAGAGAGGACTCGTAACGTCGCAGGAAATCGTGTTCCATTCTCACATAGCATATCTGTATTTTCTTCCACTTCGGATTCCTCGTCACTTTTGTCCTGTTTTCTTCTTTTGTTGGTCGTATATTTTCTCACATTTCGCCTTTTATTTTTTCTTTGGAAACTTTTTTTCTGTCAGTTTATTATTGTTTTTAGGGCTTTTTTTCGGCCTGCTTTTCCTTCTTCTGTTGTTCCTCTATCAATTGATCTTTATACGAAGTGCTTGTCAAAACTACTGTGCCACCAGAATTCCTTGATTTTGAGAACGTTCTTGTGTCATTTTAGGGAGTGGATGAACATCATTTGGCATTACGTTAAAACCATTGGATGCCTTCGATGTCGAGGGTGCATTAACCGATGCTAAGAATTGCGTAATAATTGCTGGTAAAGCGTCATTTTGCGCGAGGCTTTCAATATTTTTTTCATTGGCGTCATCCTTCTACTCATAGACGGTAATAATTTCATGATTGACTTCTTCATTTTGTTCATGGACCGTATCATTTTCCTTATGGGAGTTGTCATTCCGCGGTTCATTTTGCTCAGTCACTTTAGCAGTCACTTTGAGTGCGGAAGGTGGCCATCAAGAATCAGAAGGGCAGGATCTTGCTTAAACATGAATGAAAAGCATAAAATAAACAAACTTGCCGGGTAACATTTATTACTCTGGAATGAGACATGTACAATATATAAATACTAAGTTGTATAATAACCAAATAAAGTGAAACAAGAAAATGTAAGAAAATATAAAAAAATATAAGAAAATATAAGAAAATATAAGAAAATATAAGAAAATATAAGAAAATATAAGAAAATATAAGAAAATATAAGAAAATATAAGAAAATATAAGAAAATATAAGAAAATATAAGAAAATATAAGAAAATATAAGAAAATATAAGAAAATATAAGAAAATATAAGAAAATATAAGAAAATATAAGAAAATATAAGAAAATATAAGAAAATATAAGAAAATATAAGAAAATATAAGAAAATATAAGAAAATATAAGAAAATATAAGAAAATATAAGAAAATATAAGAAAATATAAGAAAATATAAGAAAATATAAGAAAATATAAGAAAATATAAGAAAATATAAGAAAATATAAGAAAATATAAGAAAATATAAGAAAATATAAGAAAATATAAGAAAATATAAGAAAATATAAGAAAATATAAGAAAATATAAGAAAATATAAGAAAATATAAGAAAATATAAGAAAATATAAGAAAATATAAGAAAATATAAGAAAATATAAGAAAATATAAGAAAATATAAGAAAATATAAGAAAATATAAGAAAATATAAGAAAATATAAGAAAATATAAGAAAATATAAGAAAATATAAGAAAATATAAGAAAATATAAGAAAATATAAGAAAATATAAGAAAATATAAGAAAATATAAGAAAATATAAGAAAATATAAGAAAATATAAGAAAATATAAGAAAAATATAAGAAAATATAAGAAAATATAAGAAAATATAAGAAAATATAAGAAAATATAAGAAAATATAAGAAAATATAAGAAAATATAAGAAAATATAAGAAAATATAAGAAAATATAAGAAAATATAAGAAAATATAAGAAAATATAAGAAAATATAAGAAAATATAAGAAAATATAAGAAAATATAAGAAAATATAAGAAAATATAAGAAAATATAAGAAAATATAAGAAAATATAAGAAAATATAAGAAAATATAAGAAAATATAAGAAAATATAAGAAAATATAAGAAAATATAAGAAAATATAAGAAAATATAAGAAAATATAAGAAAATATAAGAAAATATAAGAAAATATAAGAAAATATAAGAAAATATAAGAAAATATAAGAACATATAAGAAAATATAAGAAAATATAAGAAAATATAAGAAAATATAAGAAAATATAAGAAAATATAAGAAAATATAAGAAAATATAAGAAAATATAAGAAAATATAAGAAAATATAAGAAAATATAAGAAAATATAAGAAAATATAAGAAAATATAAGAAAATATAAGAAAATATAAGAAAATATAAGAAAATATAAGAAAATATAAGAAAATATAAGAAAATATAAGAAAATATAAGAAAATATAAGAAAATATAAGAAAATATAAGAAAATATAAGAAAATATAAGAAAATATAAGAAAATATAAGAAAATATAAGAAAATATAAGAAAATATTAAGAAAATATAAGAAAATATAAGAAAATATAAGAAAATATAAGAAAATTTAAGAAAATATAAGAAAATATAAGAAAATATAAGAAAATATAAGAAAATATAAGAAAATATAAGAAAATATAAGAAAATATAAGAAAATATAAGATAATATAAGATAATATAAGAAAATATACGAAAATATAGGATATGCACTGATATGCAATACAATAAACCATTGTAAAAAAACTATCGAATATAGTTTGATTCAAAAATCACAAATAAATACGAGTAAAAAGCTGTGTTGTCGCCGAAATAATGGCGGCCAATCAATAATCGGCACACAGAATTCTACGAGTGCTTGATATACTTGTTACTCGTCCTCTCTTTTTCCTTGTCTAAGACACTGCATCTTTTTCTTATAGTAAAGTCTGCTTTTATTTCCAAAAATGATCGCGCCCTTGCTTGTGTGACCAAGTAAATAATTTTTTAATGATTTAAATATTTTTCTAGATTACTGTGATAGCAATAAGTATTATATGTGCCGGTTTTGGAATAGAAAGCGCGTTAAAACTGGAACAACATTTTGACCTTATGTGGTTTATACCCGATGATACTTACCTAGGAAAATTTTTGGATGTTAGAAATGTTTACTATCCCGAAAACGTTTTCGATGCTGGTTTTTACATTGGTCCTTTAAATTACACTTACGAATTGAAAAATATCAAAAGAGCTGTCGATGAATTGGAAAGTTACTCAAATATTACCCAGAATGTGGTGTCGTGGGTAGATCCATTCAGGGAGTTTGTTTTATACAACTTCCATCATGGTATGGGTAATTTAGAACTATTATAATGATGGTTATTAACAACATTTTACAATTTAATTAATTTCTTTGCCACAATTAACTAAATTATTTTTAAAAATTTGAAATCTTGATAAAATAAAAATTTTTAGGAAAGCCAAATTTTGAGAAATAAAGTTTTCTTTTTTTTAATTTTGAAAAGTCAAGTTACCATGAGGAAAAAGAATCAAAATTTTAAAAAAAGAATGTAAAAAATTACTTCTTTTTTTCTTTCACGTTTTCTCAATCGTTTACTTTTGGTTCTCAAAATTTGTCTTTCTTCTTAAATTTTTTACTTTTTACGCGGCATTTATACGAAGTCGTTGTTACAAGTGTATCGTAGGTATAATGATGATTATTATTTTTTAGACGTTTACGAACTACCACTAGATGATGATAGATTTAATATATTTTTATCAAAATTTTTACTAAGCCCTAGAAACGCGCGATATCAAGCAAATTTTATTTTTGAAAACGAATTAGAATGTGGAGCTCCTGCACCAAGAATTAAGGTGAATAAAAACGAAATATTAATTAGAATTTTAATGAATATGATAATTATCCAAAAAAGTTTCAAAAATTTATAGGAACAAATTGTTTTAGATGTCTACTATTGACTTTAAATTTAAGAACTTTAATGATCCGAAGAAACAAATTCCAGCTATGCACAAAGTCAGAGATGTTGTCACCCATGCCAATTTTACCACTGGTGATAAATTTTCTACAGTGTGGTCCAAATTTTTCAGTACATGGATAACAGACGAAGTAAGAAACAAATAATGGATATTAAACTAGAAATGAAAACATAAAAATGTTTAGAAAATTCAGTTTTAAATTAGAACGTTAAATATCTATGTCAAAAATTGATAGAAATTAGCAATATATTAGTATTTCAAATTTGACAGTAAATGTAAAAATTTGTCAGTAAATGTCAAAATTTTACAGTAATTATCAAAATTTGACATGAAACGTCAAAGCTGACACCAAACGTTCCAAATTTGCATTTATTGGCACGGAGTCATATTTTTTATCCCAAAACGATTTGCTATTTTAATTTATAATGGCCAATGAACACTGTTTTCAGCTAATAGACATTGAGGTTTTGCGAAATCTCCAACTAGCCCTTCTCTGCGTAATGCTATGCACAATAGTCCTAATCGCAAACTGGCAAATCTGCTGTCTTATCTTCTTCTGCGTCCTCATCACCATGGTGGACGTTTGCGGATTCATGCAGCGCTGGGGACTGACCATCGATTTGGTGTCATGCATCGGACTTGAATTAGCGATTGGACTATGCGTGGATTACGCCACGCACGTTGGACACACTTTTTTGACAGTCGCTGATGGAACGAAGAGAGAACGTGTCATCAAGTCTGTTACTTCTATCGGTTCGGCTGTGCTGTACGGGGGGTTGTCTACTTTCATTGGGGTGTTCATGATGAGCCAGTCCAAGGCCTATACGTTTCAGTCATTTTTTAAGGTAAATATTTCTATTTATGAACACATAAACGACCCGTAAAGTTATATAGAGTCTTTGTAAATACCTCTGTCCATCGTAACTAATATAAATATTTCATCAGTTGATTATTTGATAAATCCCTATAGTATAAGTTATCTCCACTAGATTTTTGAAGAGTATGTATTGCTATACTCAAACAATTTTTAAATGATGGTGATTCATCGAAGGATTATGGTGGGCCGGCAACAATGTATTTCTAGAATTACCCATAATCCTCCTATGCAGCGACGTAACAATGATTCTCGATAAAATGCTAATATCGAATAAGCTTTAATTGACACGATTTTATTGATTTACGTTAAACATTGTTTAATCTACTTTGTATGAAATGTCTGAAAAAGTTGACAAAAAATGGGAATTTTTATTATTAATTTTTCAAAAAAAATATTTATAAAAAGTTCTGCAATAAATCAATAATGAAAAATAAAATTTGTAAAATATTTAGTGGTATGCGGAGAAAATAAAAAGTGCATTTAAATTTAAATACAGAACAAAATGTAATTTAAAATATTGATTATAATTAAAAACGTATAATTTAACAATTATTAAATTATTTATTACACAAGATAAATTAAAAATTAAATTAAAAATAAATATACTTACACGCATCACATATAAATCAGTAATCAAGAACAACATAAAAAAATATTGATTTATGCTGAAGAGTCCTCCTCTTTAAAATGTAAAAGTGTTGTTTCATTTTAAGCCGTCTTACCTTGAATTTATTAGAATGATATGATAAAAAAGCAACTAACCATATACCTGTCTCACGCTACGACACTGATTTATTTAATTGAATTAATACTTAAGTGATTTGTTAGGCTTACCAGTAGACCTTAGTATTGACGAGTTTATCGCTGATTCAAAGTATTTACCTAACTTGGCTGGATATAATATTTGGACGAGGAGTAAATATTATGGAATAATCTCACATACATTGTTGCCGGTTGACCACAGTGCAATCCGCAAGATGAGTCATCATCATTTAAAAATTGTTCGAGTATAGCTCGTAAACAGTTGGTAACAAACATTAATTAAATGGAGAAAAAGATGTATATTTCGAAGTCCAATCTGAAAACGGTTTGAAAACCAAAATATCAGGGATGGTTTCTGAAATATTCAATAATAAACAAATTAGTTCCATTTCTTGATTCCACTGCAGAACGTTTATTTTCCAAAAAAGACAAATGCATTTACGGTTTTTTGTCTTATATTAAGTTGCGAATATGATGGCGTATTTGCTTTTTTATTCGACGTTTCGTATATGTAGGTCCACCATCAACTTCTTTATTTGAATACGGACCAGTGTTTTTTCGAAAGATCATTTGAAAAGTTAAGTTGAGTGTGAAATACAAGTAGCGGGTAGAGAATCAATGAACAAGATGTTGGAGTTAGAAGTGTTCCCTTGACTTTTTTGTAGTGTTTAACGTCAATTGACTACAGTGTGTTATTAAAGTTTTTAAAAAGAAGTATATTTAAAAGATTTCACCTTAATTTATGCTCCAGCTAATCTCTCAGGTCGTGGTACGGCCTTTGGATTCTTGAATATGTTTACCTTTTCTCGTTAATAAAATAAAAAAATTGATTAACCAGTGAACAAATATCTAAGAATAATATAATGACCGTCTATTAAACAAAAAGAAATATAGTCCTAAAAATTAGATAGTGAAAAGGCTTACTAAAATTTAGACGTTTATTTAAAAAAAAAGAAAAAAAATTACATTCGGCTGAAGGCCAGTGAAAACTAAACAATGTTAATAGGTTTTATGCTGAGGGCGAAAAATATAAATGGAGTATATATATAAAAAAAAACTAGTGATTAACTATTCGACCGCGTGCCGTTACAGAGCTACAAAGCTTAAAATACGAATTGAACTTGTTCGAGGTGTTGAAAACTAGGACATCCCTGTGATTAATCTGGCTGAAATGGTCCTACGAGGTAGTTGAGCTTACACTTGGTCAGATTATTAGGACGATCCAGCGACTAGTTCGGTCGATGCAGATTCTGGATTAGTAACCACTGTAACCAGCTGAATGTTACTAACTAGGGTTTCCTGACATCGGAGATGCTGGAGTGCAAAGTTTAAATATCACTGATATTTAATGAATAAAATAATGATCGACTTTTTTGGATACCCCTGTATCGAAAAAATCGTCCGCGAAAAAGTACTGTGGTGAAGCCAACCCAAGATTTAACTAATAATTAAATTTATTTAAAATTACTTAAAGTAATCTATACTGCCGTCATAAGAAAAAAACACGTATTCGACATTTTTTCAAAATTGAGATATTTATTTCATATGTTTTAAAATAGCTTTCTGAACATGTTGACGAAGAAAAAATCGCGTATATTGCTGTGGAAGTAATAAATTCGCTTTGTTATTTTCACGTATTTGCACCTCATTGAGTAGTCGTACTAAATATAAACCACGTATTTACTAAATACTAAGAAATACCCGCTTAAAAACGACGCGCATACGTAGTTTTTACTTAGTAGGCGCGCGTTTACGTGGCTGTTGCTTAGCATTGAGTATTTCTGCAGTACAAAGCGCATATGTAACAGTTAAAAGCCTTAACATTAATGAAATCGTGAATTGGAAAAACTGTTCTTCGATTACAAAGATAAATAGATTAAAGCCTTATTTACGAGACGTTTCCGAAATAATATTTACCAAATATTGAAACTTTCATTCGTTCGAATACAGAACTTTGGAAAATAGTACGTTTACAGAAGTTGATATTTTGCAAGAAGGGTTTAAAAGAAATCCTAATCTTATGCGGCCAAATTTTCGCAATACGTCGTGTGGAATAAGCGCCGAAAAAAAAGAGTCGATAATAAAAAATTTGAGTCCACTGTCAGACACGAGGTTATCTTTTTGGCAAAACATTCCTATTTGTTAAAATAAATGAATTAAGTATTTGTTACTCTTAAATTAAAAACTATCGTCTGTACTTTTAAATATTTTTTAATAAATAGGTTTCAAAGTTTTATAGGCTTTGGTGCCTTCTTTTATAAATAAGTCTGTTTGGTGAAACACAAAAATTAAAAATATAAAACATTTACAAAAATAAATTTATTTAGGCTAAATTTTTTTGTATTAAGGTGATTACAGCACCCCCTTATAATTTTTGGACAACGATATCTCAAAAATTCATTTAAAAAAAAAATTAAAATGTTGACAAAATATATTTGGCAATAATATCTAGAATATGCATATATTTTAAACTTTTAATTCCTTCCAGTTTCCGAGAAAAAAATTAAAGGGCTTTAAATTTTGAAATATCATAATGAAAATAAATGCATTCCTCAACAGCACTATTCTTAATATAATCCCTAAATTTAAGCTCCTAATCTGTTGTTAATGATTTTTTAAAATTCGCCGAAATTAGTGGCTAAACCGCCTTGTTAAGTGCTATTTTCTGGTTTAAACTGGTGTAAACTAGTGTAAACTGGTGTAAATCGTTGCAAGAAACGAATAATGACTCAGAGTGTACGATACGATAGTTACAGACGCGTTACACTAGAAAGAAGCACCTAACGAGGTGTTTTAGCCACTAATTTCGGCGAATTTTAAAAAATCATTAACAAGAGATTAAGAGCTTAAATTTGGGGGTTAGTGGGAATAGTGCTGTTGAGGAATGCATTTATTTTCATTATGATATTTTAAAATTTAAAGCCCTTTGATTTTTTTTCTCGGAAACTGGAAGGAATTAAAACTTTAAAAAATACGCATATTCTAGATATTATTGCCTAATTTATTTTGCCCAAATTTAAATTTTCTAAAAAAATACTTTTTGAGATATCCTTAACTACAAGCAGAAGTTCCTATATTTACATTTTTCGAAGGTAAAACTGCGTATATGCACGTTATACGTAGTTTTTCCTTAGCAAATTGTAATTACGTGTTTGTTGTTTAGTATTACAAATATTTTTTCCATTTAAATATGCCGTATTTTTTATTTTTTTGTTATAAAACGAAAATTTCTTGCTTAATCAATAGTTTTTTATTCTCATTTATTAGCTTTTTTGGTATGTAAATTTAGATACCAAAAGTAGTTGTCTGGAAAAATGTATTTGTAATGTATTTATAATTTAAATCTTTACTCTCCATTTTCTTAAATTTAAGATTTTGTCGAATACGTGGTTTTTTCGTATGACGGCAGTATACTCTAAAAATTATTACAAAATTGAATTATCGAAACGTGTTTGCATGAAAAATTAACAGCAAAATGGCGGTGCCATTTAAGCCTTAAATGCGCAGCGGGTCCCGTCGACTTTAGGGACAGTGGAATTTTAAAGAAATATATTTTTTATCAGAAAGAGCGTATTTTAAATAGTATATTAAAAAAAAAATTGCGGTAAATGCATTATTTAAACAAAAAAAAATATTTAATTTCTATAAAAATCAGCAATTTGACGACTGTAAACATCGAAACTCGAGGGTTTCTGTCAAATTTGGAAAATATACTTGCAACGTTGCCGGATTGTGATAAAATTAGTTGTTAATGGAAAATTGTGATTGCGCATACCGGTCCATAAATATGCAACAAGAAAACGAAACCACGACTTATCGTAGGGTGGCGGCTTCGCCGCCACCAAAAAACAATAACCCATACCTGGCTACGCCGACCGGCATAGACTCCAACGGCCTGGACACATCTCAAATTGAATTGAAAACGTAAACTTTTTCACATAATTTCTTGCGATTGCGCATACCAGTCCATAAATATGCAACAAGAAAACGAAGCAACGTCTTATCGTAGGTGGCGGCTTCGCCGCCACCAAAAAACGTCAACCCATACCTGGCTACGCCGACTAGCATAGACTCCAACGGCCTGGACACAGCTCAAATTGAATAATTGAAATGAAAAATCTCAAATAAACACATTTATATTTTGGTTTTATCATCTAGCCTGGAGCTATTGAAAAAACAGCCACTGTCATTCTTGTTATGTACGTT